ATCCTTCAGGATCACGTCAATTCTGGTATTTTTTCAATATGCGTATATGTGAAATGAAAAATACCATCTCCTCCTCTTCCCCCTTGTTGACAATCTTGAGGTCTTCCTTCTCCATGCTGCAGAACAGTTTGCCAAGCCCCTTCCTTAGTCACTGCTAACAGATCAGACAAAATGTCAACGGTGAACAGTGCGGGAAACATTTAATGCTGGGCTTACACTGTGCGATTTTTTGGCCCATTTTGAGCCGATTTTTGAGTCGTGCGACCGTTTTGGCGATCGGCCCGATTTTGGCCTTCACCGTGCGTCGTGCATCGTGTAGTATACGTGGGGTAACGAGACGCGATTAACACCTCACGACCAGCTCCCGATCATCAATCGCTTGGTCGTTTGAAATCCTCGCGACCGTCGTGAGGGTGTCACCGCAGTTTCTCACACTGCGCACGCGCAAACACAAATGTCAGCGAAAAAGATGGCGCAGCACGGCAGTGCAGCGTGTGATCTGGACACAAGCGACGGAGGCACAACTTGTAGAACTATGGCAAGCTGATCCGAGCCTTTTCGATGTGGTCTCACAAAATTATCACGACCACAACATCCGTGAAAATAGTTGGATCTACACTGCTGCTCAATCACAGCTGCCTGATCAATGTTTTTAGCAATTTAGCAAAGTTGATGGCGGTGGTGTGCGTGTCTGTGTGTGAAAGACAGAGAGGGAGAGCGAGCGACAGAATTTCTGTTATAACCTTCATTTTATGGACGAACAGTGTGAGCACTCGGGTCGCATCAGAGCATCGGGCCGTATAGTGTGAGACCCTGCATCGTGACCTATGAACTTCTAACCCCTGCGAGTCAATCGTACAGTTTGAGCAGGAGCTGAATCGCACGACTGAAAAAAATCACACAGTCTCTGCCCAGCTTAAGCTTCACAGCAGGCTTTGAAACCGAGAGCTCAACAGCACAGTGTCGGAACAAGTCACAAGATAACACCACATTATTTGTTTAAATTAAAGATTGATTAATCAAAGCCCTGTAAAGTGCTTAACAATGTCAAATGTCAAAGACAAATGTCAAAAGCAAATTACAACTTTGGAAAGCAAGTTTCTGTCTTTTTAATCAATATTCTTAACGCAATCTTCTTGACTGAAGTGACCAGGGATTTTGTATTTAAGCTCCACGTGGCAGGTCGGATATTGCTTAGGAAGGAAGCTGATTTTCTGCATCATTCACAAGATCAAAAAAACATTTACCAGCACTCAAAGTATGCACTTTAAGCCAAAGAGGTTTGGACCAGTGGAAGTAACGGCAACTACAGGAGGGTTTTAATCTATAACACATATAGTCACACATATAATCTATAGAATATATATTTTTAGCTAGCAGATCATACACATGTTATACTCGCTAACCCTGCGAGCATGCTATATATTTAATTTTTAGATTTATTGAAAGAAATCTCACTTGTGGATTTTTTTCCCCCAATAAAGTTTGAAGTGACAAATCCTCACCCCCCCACCTCCCTCTTCACCCACGACTGCAGACCTGCCAATGGTTCCAACACCATCATTAAGTTTGCAGATGACACCACGGTGATTGGCCTCATCAGTGACAACGATGAGGCCGCCTACAGGAAGGAGGTGGATCATCTGGTTGAGTGGTGCGACACAAACAACCTGCTGCTTAACACCGAGAAGACCAAGGAGCTCATCGTGGACTACAGGAGGAATGCTGACCCACATCCACCCATCTACATTAAGGGGACGGCTGTGGACCGTGTGAGCAGCTTCAAGTTCCTGGGAGTCCACATCTCCGAGGATCTCACCTGGACGACCAACTGCTCCAAGCTGGTCAAGAAGGCTCACCAGCGCCTCTTCTTCTTGAGGACTCTGAGGAAGAACCACCTGTCCTCAGACATCCTGGTGAACTTCTATCGCTGCACCATCGAGAGTATCCTGACCAACTGTATAACAGTCTGGTACGGGAACTGCTCTGCCTCGGACCGGAAGGCGTTGCAGAGGGTCGTGAAAACTACCCAGCGCATTGCCAGAGCACCACTTCCTGCCATAAAAGACATCTACAGGAAGCGGTGTCTGAAAAGGGCTGGGAAAATCATCAAAGACCCCAGTCACCCATCACATGGACTCTTCACCCTCCTGCCCTCTGGGAGGCGCTACAGGAGCCTCCGGACTAAGACCACCAGGTACTGGAACAGCTTCTTCCCCACAGCTGTCAGACTCCTGAACTCTGCCTCCTGACATCTGACCCACATTAAACTCACGGACTGGACATACACACACCCACAACCACCTACACACACACACAACCACCTACACACACACACACACACTATGGACAACTGTACCCTCAAACACACAATAATAACATGGACTGAACCACCACTCACAACCACTAGCACTTTATATAGCCTCTTAACTGCACTACTGTATAGTTCTGTGTAAATAATCATACGATAATTTTTAATTCTATAACTGTTTACAACTTGCATAGTTCCCATTTCTGTATAAGTGTATAAGTTCATTATTTCATATTCTGTATAGTTTTTTTCATATATATATCCTGTTCATAGCTTGTACTCACTACAGCCTGTACATACTTATAGTTATAGCATATTCATAACATACTTCATACCGTGTACATATTACATACCGTAATAGACCCATTTCTGTAATATACTTACATATCTATATTATTGCTAATATATATTGTAATATATCTATATCATGGCTAAAGCACTTCTGGATGGATGCAAACTACATTGCCCTGTACCTGTGACATGTGCAATGACAATAAAGTTGAATTCTATTCTATTCTATTCTTTTCTGGCTGCCACTTCAAACAATACTGTCTTTATTTCTGTGGCTCTCTCTTATTATGAATCACTTTGTGGCAGAATACACTTTAGACAAATGTAAATGAAAGCATCGCCGTATGCCAATTGTAAACTGCAGGCATGTGCCAGTCAGTTTAGAATAGTTCCCATTAACTAATTTCACTTGGTAAGGATAAAATTGGAATAAAATATAAATTAAAACATTATGGACATAAAGTTAAGAACATGTCTATGGATACATTAGTGAACCGTTTTGTTTTTCCTATCTCTGTCCACATACAGTCGTGCAGCATTTACATTGGGTTAAAGAGATTTTAGCAAATTACAAATTCAGATGTAGACTGTAGCACACAAAACATGGCCCAGCAGCAATGAACAGCACTCCCCAAAAAGCTGCTCAACCTTAGTACACCTGAGACTATCTCTTAAGTCAATACACCCACACAGTCTGAATGACTCATCAAACTCATGCATTACTCCATATCAAACTTGTTGCTCCATTCCTCTCTCAATTCCCAAGAGGACTACACATCCCGTACAGAAGGAAAATTGCCAGTGTGTTTGGACGTGCATGTGAATTTTGCTGTATTATCCACTGAACAATCTTTGTCAAATGATTCCTAAGGTGCTTGTAAACACAAGTTAGGCTATAGACAGTTTCACTTTTTACTTAAAACCCCAGCAAACCGTCACTAAGTAATATTACAGATATATTACATTTTTTTTTGGCCTCTCAAAGATATTCAAGACTACTTGAAGATTTCCGACTACTTGAAGATTTCCCAGACAGGGAAAGGAGTGAGGAGGTAAGTGACGGAAGTGACGGACAAGGTAAGCGACTCATGTTGTAACTGACGTCAGACGCCGGAGATTTTGGCGGAAAATTAAAGCAAATGGTAGTTTAGATTTGAACAAATTCATTTAAGCTTCAGCATTACCAAATACACTTATCAATTGTCTTATAACTAACACTATTTGTCTAAATAATCTCCAACACCCTGGAGAACAACGAGGAGAGTTTAGAGACTCTCCAAGATTACATCGATCAGTGCTTTCAGGATCTCGTGATGAAGAAGACCCCGTGTGCAGCTTCCCCGGCCAAACCTGAGACGCTGTCGTCGAAAAGACAACGCCCGGCAGATTCCCCCGGCTCAACATCGCCAGCCGGCAAAGATATTGCCGACATATTGGAGTCAATCGACAAGCGATTGTCCAGTTTCGACGCAAGGCTGTCCTTGGTGGAGATTCTTCACCGAGAATTTAAATGCTTGCGAGAATCCCTGGAGTACAGCCAGCAGCAGGTGGAAACGCTTGCTGCTGAAAATGCCACGCTAAGGGAGTCGGTGAAATGTCTCACAGATAATGTTACCCAGCTCAATAGAGAAAATAAAAAAATAAAAGAAACAGTTATCGATCTACAAGCTCGTAGCATGCGTGATAATCTGGTATTTTCTGGTATTCCAGAAGCCGCTGGAGAGGACGCGGAGACCACGGTAAAAAGCTTCATCAAAACCCACCTGAAGCTGCCGGAGGACACTGTGAAAAACATCGTCTTCGATCAGGTACATCGCCTCGGCCCCATTCGGGCTACGGCCGGGAGACCACGTCCTATCGTGGCCAAATTCGGCCACTTCAAACAAAAGCAACATGTGAAAAGCCGCGGCAGGGAATTAAAAGGAACGGACTTCAGCGTGAACGACCAGTTCCCCAAAGAGATCTTGGAACGACGCAGGGTCCTCTTCCCAATCCGACGGGGCTTCATCCAGAAGGGCTCCCGCGCTGTCATCGCTGTGGACCGGCTGTACGTGGACAGACAGCTCCACCGCGACCCCAACATCACTCCGTGGCTGTATTAACCTCACACCAGATAAGAATCAGCTGCACCATTTCCCTATCCACTCACACTAACTTGCATTAACATCTGTTTAACTTACTAGTATCAAATCGCA